GTAATTTCACCAGCCGACAAATATGGGGGAGAAAAAGTTAATAGTAAATTTCACCATTTTACAAATAAAAACTGTATTTATCCTGCAAAACTTAAAAATTTTTTGGAGTGTATATGTGAGAGACAGTATGAAGGGGTGCGAGTGAGGGTGTGTGTGTGTGTGTGTGTGCACATACACACAAAAGAGAAAGAGATGAGAAGCTGAGAAAGAGAAGTCATCTTGAAACATGTAGTGAAACATGTAGTACTGTCTTTCTGAGAGCTCAACCTCCATTGCCATTTATCTTTAGTTCTTTCTCTGCCAAATTCTAAACCTGAGTAAGTGTTTGGTGGTGATCCACTGTGTAAGTATAGGACCTATCTACACAGCAAAATTCATATAAGAAATAAATAATGGAAAGACACAGTGAACCATACGTGAACCATTAAGGTTTCTTACAAAGGAGTGGCCAAAATGAGCATCGAGCTCTTTGGAAGAGCTGCAGAGTTCAGGCTTAAAAAGCCATTACTTGAGATTAATGTTGGTTTGCGATGAAGTTTTCACTGGTTTTCTGCAAGACGAAAGTAGTGAGGATAAGGTATTATGAGAATGTAGGCCTATAAATACCTGATCTCTTCCTCGTTTTTATGCTTTAATTATTGGAGAGGTAAAGTCTTTCAAAATGCTGTCTTGAGTAGGTGGGAAGGGCAGAGGTGTACGTGCACAAACGTGTGTTTGAAAGCTCTAGTTACCTTTCGAGTGTACCTCTTTAGTTTATTCCTATAATACCTGCACTTACCAGAGGACCGGTTTTCTGAAAACCACCTCACACTTTTGAGGGTTAAGTTGCCTGGGGGCCGTGCTTGAAAGCAGCAAATTGTTTCATTGGCCAAGCTTTCCTTTCCTTAAATGTTCAGTTGACTCTCTTTGTCTCTGTCTCTCTCCCTTTCTCCCCTCTCTCCTCCTCTCTCCCCCTCCTTCTCCCCCCTTCAGCCCTCCTCTCTGTCCTGACTTTCTTCCTGCCTCCCTCCCTCCCCACCACCATACAGACCTCCTCTCCAATCCTCTCCTCTGTCTTTTCCCCGCTCTCTCTTTCCCTGTCTATGTGTAGAGGGGCAAATGTTGAACAGGCATTTCATATGTAAGCACAGGTCCTGACAATAACAGTAATTAGTCATTTTGATATAAATGGAGATTTCTAATTTCAAAGACTTGCATCCCTAAAAGCTATCCAAAAGCAGTTCGCTTTACATTTCGTAGTAACAGGCACTGTCTCTTTTACGGTATCCCTAGTGGTAATACCAGAAGTGGTTATAATGACAGTAACAACAGTCATGGTTTGTTCGTCTTACTATGGCTAATATTTATTTTTTACCACTTGCCATACATTGTTCTAGGGAAGTTGTTCTGAGTTTCGTCTTTGGACCCTGGGGGTTGCCCAGGATTCTGCAGGAGCCCGTGAGGTCAAAACTATTTTCATAATAATGCTAAGAAGCCATTTGCCTTTTTTTTTTTTTTTTAATAATGCTGACATTTGAGCTGATTGCACAGAAACCAGAATGGGCAAACCTGCCAGCTCATCAGCCCAAATCAAGACCAGTGGTCATAGTAGTCTTCACTGCGGCCACTCTGTTTAAAGCAACAAAAAAAGAAGCCGGTTTTATTTTAGAAAGCCCCTGATGAAGCAGTAAATTTTATTAAACCTTGACCCTTTATTACATGTCCTTTGAATGTTCTGTGTGACAGAATCGGGCAGTACACATGAAACACTTCTGTGTGCTTGAATTGCCAACTGAATTAGTCACGTTCTTCGTGGCCAGCAAACTGCGCTTATTCAGCCTTCAGCATTTGGCGGAAATGTTCTTGAAAATGAAGGAGTCTAGCCTGTAAGTCCCAAGGACAGCACTGTATTGGCAGAGCAGAGAGTGGCCGGACTGGAGGGTGCTTTCCCAGGGCTCAGGTGCTCTCACGGGCCCTCCTGATGTGAAACAGTGTCCGCTCTTTCCTATCCAACTCATGTTTATAAGTTAAAGAAAATGTTTACTTTACATATGTACTTTTGAGGAACAGAGCCGAAAAACATTTTCCAGGGTTTACCTGCTATAGAATCAGTCATCGTATAGATTAGAAAAGTAGAGCCCAGATATCCAAGGTAACACAATACCAAATGCATGATTCGTGGTCTAATCTTTTATTTGATCGTGCTTTATACTTCCAAGTACTTTCGTATATACCTTTTCATCTGATCGTCACACAGCCCTGTGATTACCTAAAGCAGTTTAAAGATAAGGAAATTGAGGCTCAATGAGGCGTCTTTGCAGTTTATATTTTCCTGCCTTGTTGGCTGTTATCTCTCATGGCTTGAAATAAGGCGGAGCAAATAGGAGATAAAATCTATAAAACTTGGCATCTAACAAGATGCAAAAAAAAAAAATGAGATGAAGGAGCCAGGGAATTTTCTAAAGTTCCCACTTGGGCCCCTGGGAGGGTAGCATTAACTGAGAAAATGAAAATGGAGAAGGATTAGATTCAGTGATCCTGCAAGCCTTTTCATTGGCACTAGTATAACCTGCTTTGAAGGAGTCCTACATTGTATGTAGGCTGTACTGTTACACATTGTCCCTACATGGGAAGTTCAGGCACTCTGATTGAAGGAAAGACATGTGAAGTGCCTTAAGAAAGGCTTAGTTTACGTCCTGTAGCTGGTCATAGGAGGGAAGGAATTCCTTCTGGGCTAAGGGGAATTTTTGTGGAAGAGGAAGCATTTGAAAGAAGTCTTACATAATGGTAGAATTTGGATGTGCAGGGGTGCTTGTGACAAAACCAAGTTCACTTACAGAAAAATAAAGCAACATGTGGAAAGAGGAGTATCAAGTACCATAGCTTATGTGTAGCAGATAAGAAATTACTCTCGGAAACAGTTATTCCAATAAGTTATGGGAAATACTGACTACTACACACATGGTCAGTTTTCCATTTTGTATTTCATTTTTTTTCTTTTTTTTTAATTTCTTTTCAGCATAACAGAATTCATTGTTTTTGCACCACACCCAGTGCTCCATGCAATGCGTGCCCTCCATAATACCCACCACCTGGCTCTCCCACCCCCCACCCCTTCAAAACCCTCAGGTTGTTTTTCAGAGTCCACAGTCTCTCATGGTTCACCTTCCGCTCCAGTTTCCCTCAACTCCCTTCTCCTCTCCATCTCCCCATGTCCTCCGTGTTATTTGTTATGCTCCACAAATAAGTGAAACCATATGATAATTGACTCTCTCTGCTTGACTTATTTCACTCAGCATAATCTCTTCCAGTCCCGTCCATGTTGCTACAAAAGTTGGGGATTCATCCTTTCTGATGGAGGCATCATACTCCATAGTGTATATGGACCACATCTTCCTTATCCATTCGTCCGTTGAAGGGCATCTTGGTTCTTTCCACAGTTTGGCGACCGTGGCCATTGCTGCTATAAACATTGGGGTACAGATGGCCCTTCTTTCCGCTACATCTGTATCTTTGGGGTAAAAACCCAGTAGTGCAATTGCAGGGTCATAGGGAAGCTCTGTTTTTAATTTCTTAACTAACCTCCACACTGTTCTCCAAAGTGGCTGCACCAACTTGCATTCCCACCAACAGTGTAAGAGGGTTCCCCTTTCTCCACATCCCCTCCAACACATGTTGTCCTGTCTTGCTAATTTTGGCCATTCTAACTGGTGTAAGGTGGTATCTCAACGTGGTTTTAATTTGAATCTCCCTGATAGCTAGTGATGATGAGCATTTTTTCATGTGTCTGATAGCCATTTGTATGTCTTCATTGGAGAAGTGTCTGTTCATATCTTCTGCCCATTTTTTGACATGATCATCTGTTTTGTGTGTGTTGAATTTGAGAAGTTCTTTATAGATCCTGGATATCAACCTTTTGTCTGTAGTGTCATTTGCAAATATCTTCTCCCATTCCGTGGGTTGCCTCTTTGTTTTGTTGACTGTTTTCTTTGCTGTGCAGAAGCTTGTATTTCATTTTTTTTAAACTGACCTTGCCAGGGGCACGTGGGTGGCGCAGTCAGTTGAGCCTCTGACTCTTGGTTTTGGCTCAAGGTCGTGAGATTGAGCCCCAGGTCAGGCTCTGCACTCAGTGCAGAGTCTGCTTAGGACTCTCCCTGCCCCTTGCTCCTAAAATAAATAAATCTTTTTTTAAAAAATTAAGACGATTTTGCCAAACAGATGTCTTCTTAAGTAGAGCTTTTTTCTTTACATATAAGACTTCATATTTTTGTGGACCAGGGTAAGGATTTCCAGTTGAGGCGACACAATCTTCCTAGATGTTGGTTTATAGTTTTAGTTAGGGTCATGCAAAATATTCTACTGTGGTTTTGGCCTGCCTAGGTAGCTCACATGGTTAAGTGTCTGCCTTTGGCTCAGGTTGTGATCTCCTGGTCCTAGAATCAAGCCCCACATGGTAGGACTCCCAGCTCAGCGGGAAGTCTGCTTCTCCCTCTCCCTCTGCTCCTCCACCATGTTCATGCTTGCTCTGTCTCTCTCAAATAAACAAAAATTAAAAAAAACTTTTAAATTTATTTGACAGAGATCACAAGTAGGCAGAGAGGCAGGCAGAGAGAGAGCGCGGGGAAAACAGGCTCCCCGCCGAGCAGAGAGCCCGATGTGGGGCTCGATCCCAGGACCCTGGGATCATGACCCTGAGCCGAAGACAGAGGGTTTAACCCACTGAGCCACCCAGGAGCCCCTAAACAAATAAAAATTGAAAAAAATATTTTACTGTGGTCTTATGTTTTAATTCTACTGTGGCTTATTTAAAGGAAGCTTGCCATCCTTGGATGACTTTATTCTCCTCTCAGTTAGAAATCCCATCAGTCCTTTACATTGTATTTTCGTCTGAACTGCTTCCTTCAAGTAGCTCTCTTCTATAGCTTTGCTTTGTCTTGCCTGAATTATTCTCTCCCAGCATTGGTGTTACTATTCACAGCAGAATTTATCTGACCTGGCTGTTTATTACTGTTTTCCCCCAGATAAGCCAGATAAATATGATCCACGTGATGTTGAAAGGCTACAACAAGATGATAACTGGGTTGAAAGTTACTTAATTTGGAGACATAATATTGTTGATGAAGCACTGAAGATGCTTGATGAGAGTTTTCAGTGGAGGAAAGAAATGTGCGTCAACGGTAAGACGTTAAATTTAACCTTGACAGTATATGGTCCCTTGCATAAATGTTAGTTTTACATTTATCAAATAGTGTGTTTGCAGATATTCTTGGTAATCGTCATAAACACCAAAATACAACGTTTTATAAAAACCCACTAACCCTTTGAAAGAGCATCTTACAAATGTCTTCAACGTGGTATCATTCATAGGGAAATGCGATCACCAGGGAGCAGAATTACATTAGACTCTTTCACTCAGAGCAGAGTCCAATCTGGGCGTGCTTAGTTCAGTACCATTAAGCCATAGCCAGACTGCATCATCTCTACTTGTTTCGTCTGTTTTTCAGTAGTTGCCTTATGTCTTTCTCTCTCCCCAGAGTTGCTTGTGCTCATAGGTGCCCCCTGTAGCATTACGAAATAATTGGGGTCCCTAAAAAAGCAGGCTTATCCCCAAGGATGCCTACGGCAGCCTCTGCTTAAGTTACTGATTTCAAGACCCAAGTCTAGATTGACATTTTACCCCAAAATGGGAGTTTTCAATCTTGGAAGTGTTTGTTTTTTTTTTTTTTTAATAGTCTTCAAGTATATGAAGAACCCTTGACAGGAAAGGTTACCCATTATCTCTCTTCTAAATATTTAACAGGCGGAATCTGGCATAACTACTGGTTTTGATGAAGTACAAAGAAGGATTTCTTGACTTTGAGGGTTACAAACCCTGGAGTGAGTGAGTCTGGAGACTTCAGACAAAAAAATCAACAAATAAATCTAGAGCAGATACTCTCCCCAGTCTTCATACTTAGAGAAAGAATCCGTGAGAAGGGGAGTATTTAAGAGATAATTTGATTGGAAATATAAAAACCATAGATCATTTCAACAAACGGTGAAACATTTATTAATCAAGCAAAGAAATGTAAATCATTTAACTAGAGAATGAACTTTAAAGCTCAACAGTAGTTTTTCCTTATATGGAATTGCTAGTTTCCAGTGACACATGGCCAAGATACGGTAAAGGGGTGGTGCAGAAAGGTGTAAAGAACCTTCGAAAGTTCTCTGGGAACTACTGGTGAATGAAACAAAAGCCTTGGCATTGCTGCCTTGCTGTGTTCTCACTAGAGACTGGGCAGACCCTTGTTTTGTTCCTCCTGCTAAAGGATCTAACTTTTTTTTTTTTTGAAGTATTTTCCACTTACCCCAAGATTATAAAATGTGTTAGACTCTATTGGATATCAGTCTTTGTAGAAAAATATTTTACTAGAGAAACCGTAAGTGATTTTTAAATCAATCCTGAGGCTGTAATGTGAATATTTACTAGCACGTTATCTTGAAGTTGTCCAGTAGTGATAGTATTTGTTGAAAGTTACTATGTGAAACACAACCAAGACATGGGAATGTGTCCACATATTAATAGCTGATGTGTCATGGGAAATGGATTTTATTCTCATTTCTTTCATCCATGTCTTTAATATGTTTACTTAGTAAGAAACACCATTTTTTTATTGCCAGAGGTTCTTTCCAGATATTTCAATAAGCTTATCTTTTTTAATATCAGACCTACTATATAACATCACCTTTCCACTGTAAGTTTTCTTTTTAAAAGGCCCCCGAGTTACAACTACTCATCACATTTATCCTTTTTTAGACCTGACTGAATCCTCCATTCCCAGATGGTTATTGGAAATTGGTGGTATTTATCTCCACGGTTATGACAAAGAAGGCAACAAGTTGTGTAAGTATATTTAATTGATGTGCTGGCTTTTCAAGATTTTGAGATGCATTTATCTCAGCTGAATTAATAATAGGCAGAACCTTCTTCATATGTGCCACTCATGAAGTTTCCCACAATTGGGGACCATTAGGGCCATTTTGATGGAGTGTCAAACACTTAGTTGTATGTACTGTTTGCATTATGATAAAGTAAGCAGTGAAGGCAAATGCCGCATCCTATAACATAGCCAAAATAATGTAATTCAGAGCCATTATCTTCTTTGTAATTTAGTGATATTAAAATTCAGCACAGTATTCTCATGGAAAATCTTTTCAATTGTTGCTAAGCGTTTTTCAAGTTCAAAGTCTGTCCCTGTCCTGTCCGTGACCCCCTAACCCCGACCAGTCTTCTCCCCTTAGCTTCTTGTGAAATCTGTCATAGCAGAAGGACCAGTAACAACCACCCCTACGATTCTGATGACTACCTTGTTATTCCTCTCTCCCCTTTGTCCAGAATCCAGCTTGGTTTGTACCAAGGCTGTGACTGGGCAGGAGTGTCTGAGCCGTACTCTGAGCGCTTGCTTGCCTGCCCTCCCTCTCTGCAGCTTGTGGTCCATTCCTGTTTTAGGTGCATTCTCCTGGCATTTCCCGCTGTCACCGGCTCTCTTTCCCCGTCTTCATTTCGATCTTTGCTGTCTTTCCCCGTCCCTCACATGTGCTTTCCAGGCTTTCTTCCTTTCTTGGCTGCTTTTCCTTCCCAGCTGATACGGCCCCTTGGGTGATCTCAAGGACCTTGCCTCCCCACAGATGGTGATGACCCCACACGGTTCCCGGGGGATGTGCATCTATATACCCCGCTACCCACTTGACCGATCCCACTGGACTGATTGCTGGCCACCTTCCCCACAAAAGCCCCACTGGGCCACATCCACCACCGGCCCTCCTTCCGCGCCACCCAGCTCAGGTCCACAGCCTCTGTCCCTTCCGCACCTCCTCTCCTGCCACAGCTTCAGTGGAGCCCCTTCCCCGCTTCAGTCCTCACTTCCCCCGTTCAGACCCTAACTGCCTTCCCAGGGCATAGCCTGTTGGGTTTCCTTCTTTGCTTCTCCCATGCTCCTCTCCGTGCTGCTGCCCCCAAGAGATGTCTTAAGTAGGAAGAGCACACCTTAGCGTATGACTTGGAGTCTTTCCAGCCCAGCCCTGTCTCTTGAGCTTCTTGTCTCAGCACTGGCCACATTTTGCCCTAGCTGCCATGCGCTGCGCTTTGTGGTACTCTGCCCGCCCCGACTCGTGCCACCCTCGTGCCTCTGTCCGGGCTGCTTCTCCGCGTGGGATGTTGTCCTGGTTTTCTCAGAACCACTGGCTTGCTTTCTGGTCACGCACAGGGAACAGTACTTTTAGGTTATTACCAAATATTGTTTGTTCACCTGTATTTTCTTTTCCCTCTTACTTACTAGAGAAGTTTGCTTATTTTCCAAGGCGGGGGAGAAGACTTTCCCCCTCTACTCCTCTCTAAGTTCCCAAGTGCACACTATTTCTTATTTAAAAGAAGGAAGAGATGTTTTTATTCTGAGCAAGCAAATGAATTGTAAATGAAGAAAAATGTCAAGGGAAAGGAATGGTCTATGTGTATAATCATATTCTATTGACAGATATTTTTCTTATTTTTATCCTGTGTTCTGTTAAAAGTCTGGATCAGGGTGAAGTATCATGTAAAAGACCATAAAACCATGTTGGACAAAAAGAAGCTTATCGCATTCTGGCTGGAACGTTATGCTAAAAGAGAAAATGGGAAACCCGTAACAGTGATGTTCGACCTGTCAGAAACTGGCATAAATAGCATAGTAAGCATTTCTTTAATTCGCAAGCATTATTTATCATCACGTCCTCCCCGACCCTCCTCCCAACCAAATATTGCTGTATGTTTGAGCTGACCAAGGTCTGTTTGGGATTTGTTTTCCTTGTGTATTGTGAGTCAAGTGGGATATCAAATAGGATTGCAAAGAAAGAAATTTGCTTCGGTAGTTGGCATGGAAAACTGTGTGTTTCCTAGAAATGTTCTTCATGTGATATACAAGATGTTAGTGTGGGCCGTGGAAGCCGGCGGGGTAATGAGTAGCTGTGGTACCACTGAACTCTTCTGTTAGAACTAATATCCTGCAGCACCTAGCCCCATGCCTGGCACAGAGTAGTGGCTCAGGAAACACTCAGAGAAGTGATGCATGCTCTCTGTAGTACTGTTAGACTCATACCGTGTTTGGCAATCGTGAGATGTTCGCCTGCCTTCTGCACCTACGGCACTTGGTCATTTTGTTGGCGATTTTTGTTTGCTTGATTTGGTTAGCTTTGGAAACCGGCTTTCTTCAGGTAATTTTGTCCAGCTTAAAAAATAAGGAAAACCCAGGAGACTTTAATTTGGGCCCTCATGACCTCAGTAACTACAGACCCTTCAGCAGCGATGAGGATCCTTTGGCACACTGATTGCAGCTGTTGTCTCTTACAGTCAGACCTTAGCTACTTCTGGTGGCAGTGAAGTGGCCTTCACACACCTGCCTGGAGCAGTAATGAAACCTTTTTGCAGAGCCGCTCGGCAACGTATGTTAAGAATCTTAAGGTGTCCGTATTCATATTCTTTGGCCTGGTAACGAAGTTCTGGAAATTTCTTTTAAAGAAACAATCCCGAGTACAGAAAAAAGCATTGTGTGCCGAGCGTTTTTTTCAGAGTATCATTTAAAATAGTGAAAACTTGGAAAAAAAATTTTTAAAAAATAAGATCGGGGAAACTTAGAAAAAATGTAAATGTCAGCATGGCCAAATGGTAAATTATGGTGTATTAATTGATAGAGTATATGTAGCTATATAAAATGATGTTTATAAATAAGTTCTAGTAATACTGGAAAATACCTTTTTTTTAGATGAATAATGAGCAGCACTCGGTGTTTTATGCAAACAATGAATCATGGAACACTGCATCAAAAAAATTAAAAAATTTTAAAAATAAAAATGAATAGTGAAAAAGGGGACAGGGTTATGTGCTAGTGATACCTAGCCCCCAAAAAAGGAACTCTTAGACATCAACAACAACAACAACAAAATAACAACAACAACAACCTAGACAGAACAAGAGGTTATTTTGGGTGGTGGAAGCACACATTTTTATTTTCATCTTTATCTCTATGTATATTTTAGGAGTCCATTGCCCTGGAGCTTTTCAATCTTGTTTCCATTTCAGTGAGTTGTAAATACAGAGTAAATTGTTTTATACCCAAAGTCTAAATCAAAATACCTAGATAAATAGGTATTCCGTAAAAATCATGATTCTGTCATCCTTTGTATATGATGGTTTCTAATTATTAACCCAGAATCATAAACAAATGCTAATGTTTTTTATTGCCAGACATAGGGGCAAGGAATTGACTTGAATGGTCTGATTTTTTTTTTCAAACTACTTATATTCTGTCTCTTTATCTTTAATTTATAAATAAGGTTTATTTGCATTACTAAGTATTTAAATCATTATTGATGTTTTAAAATACTGAATCCTAATTGAGTTATTTTTATATATGACTCCCTCATGATTCACAGACGATTTAAGTTGGCTTATAAACAGTATGCAGAATTGCAAGGCAAAAAAAATTAAAAGCTGTTTGTTAGAGTTGGGCCACTAATTGGAGTCCAGTCTTTCATCTGCCTGCCTGAAAGAAATGGAATCATTTAAAATTATTTCAGTGGCCATACTTTAAAACCAGTATCTAAGGAGAACTTTATTCATTCCTGATACTTGTACTAGAGAGAAAAGTATTTCATGTGTCCCCAAAGGGAGGACATTTTACAGGATACTAAGTAGTCCTTGAAGACATCCTCACAGAATGCACAGCAATAGGTTTTGTGGAGCTTTTTCTTGTAGTACCCACTGATATATTTAAAACCAGTGGTATCCTATCAAATCCACTTGAATTAGCAGTAACTTGGGATTTGATAAGTAAGGCTATTCAGTTAAAAGATGAAAACAAGAATATTGGATGAAGACTTTTTGGGCAAAGTCTCTGAGGGCCACAAATCATATACTAAGTAACCAAGTTTTTATACATCTAGTTATGAGATATTTCTTTAACTCTTAAATTATTAAACTCAGTGCACAGTAGATATAATGATTAGTTGTAAAGGTACTATTATATGCTAGGATTTATTCCATAAAAAATACTTAAGACAGTTAAGGATGCTTACTTTCAGTTTACTGAAATTAAAGATGCTCAACTCACGTCCTAGAAATGACTTTATAGATTCATCTCTGGACAGCTCACCTTTCAGTAATTGATGGGTTTAAATTTTCATGATTATCTTTCATCCTACAGTCCTTATAAGACGGCTGATCAGGATTAGTAAATCGGCTTGAAGCCATGGAGTAACAGGGAGTGAAATGATCCGTGTGAATGAATAGTGACCCTCCTAACCTAATTTCATTTTGCTGTGTTCAGTGCGGTAGAACCAACAGATAGTTATGTTCATAAAGTTTCCCAGGAATTGAGCTCAATGAACAACACTCAGATACAAACTAAAAAATTCTTACTCTAATTCGAGGTCCCTAAATAAGAGGAAAGAGGCTAAAAGTGAAGTAGATACAGCACACCAGTATGTTCAGATTAGATGTTGTGGAAAAGATTGATAAAACATATTTTATTGTAACTGTTACAAGTTGTAGAAATCAGGTTTCAAAAGCAAGTATACCAGGATTGATGTTACATGTATTACCATTCCAAGTAGTGAGATTGGAAACTGTATATATGTTTTAGTAATTCCTTAACTATTTAACAGATTTTTAGAATTTCTCTATAGGCATTGCTCTTAGCTCCAAATTGTAATGTCATGTTACTTAAGTAGCCTGAAGTACCTCACTAGTTAGAGGTAATGGGAATGATGTTTAAGCATCTGATTTCTTTTACTTAATTTTAGGACTGATTGTTGTAAGTAGCTTAATGACTTAAAACCTTAATCCCTGGCAATATAGATAGGTATTTATATATGAGCTTATTTTTTAAAGAATTGTCTCATTTGTATTTAATAGTTTATCACCTTTAGAAATGTGCAATATAAAATTCTCTAATATAGATAGTCTTAAAGATTTAAATGTATAATCTTTGTTTTAGGACATGGACTTTGTACGCTTTATCATCAACTGCTTTAAGGTTTATTATCCTAAATACCTCTGTAAGTAACTTACTCCTTTATAAAAATACAATATATAGAAGCTATAAACAATGGCTGAGATTGCTTTATATTATTATAGACTTTAATTCATGAAGTGTTATTTTCTGATGAGCTTAAATGTGTGCATACAAGTTTAAGTGTGTTATCTTAGTAGATATAAAGGAAAATTTTCATAATCATTGTCCTTTATAGTTTTAAGAAGTTAAGTTCTAAACTGCATCGATGGCATCCTTTAACACACACACACACAAGTACATAAAAATACCTTTATTTCAAAGATTATTCCATTTTTATTCAACTCATTTAAAATAATATTTATTATATGGAACTTCTTAAGTTCTTCCATGGAAGAAACAGGAAAGCAGTATTGATAAAATACGCCATGTGATAAGCAGTACTCGTATATAAAATAAACTGTGTTACTAATTGTTATTTTAAAATTGTCATTAAGAAAACATTAGACTTGGGTGCCCAGGTAGCTCAGTGGGTTAAGCATTTGCCTTTGGCTCAGTCACGATCCCAGAGTCCTGGGATGGAGTCCCACATCAAGCTCCCTGCTCAATGGGAAGTCTGCTTCTCCCTCTCCCTCTGCCCCTCCCCCCGCACATGCACACACTCTCTCTCTCAAATAAATAAATAAAATCTTTTAAAAAATTAGACTAGCATACACTACATTGAAATCTGGCATTGAGAGCTTTTTTTTTAAGATTTTATTTATTTATTTGACAGAGACACAGCAAGAGAGGGAACACAAGCAGGAGGAGTGAGAGAGGCAGAAGCAGGCTTCCACTAAGCAGGGAGCCTGATGCAGGGCTCAATCCTAGGACTCTGGGATCATGACCTGAGCCAAAGACAGACACTTAACGACTGAGCCACCCAGGTGCCCCTTAGAGCTTATTTTTAATTGATTCTTGCATTAATTACCTGAATGAAGAACTCCTAAATCTTATGTATTCATTTTTGATTTATTGGATTTATATGACGGTTTCCCAGTGGAGAAGTCAAGATGCTGTCCCACATATAAAAAGTCATATATTTTAACTCCAGTGGACTGAAAGTGAAAAAAGCAGAAGAAAGACAACAGGGATATCAGAAAATGGAAACTCACAAGTCTGCCTAGGCACAGCCCTGGCCAATACCACAATTAGGGTCTTTTGAGACTCCTGACTTGGGTGATATTAAAGCTTAAAATCCCTAACTCCTCTTACTTTAGTATGCTTTCACATTATTCATGTGAAGTAAGGAATAGAGAGCAGGCATGATGGATCTCAAGAATCAGTGCGTTTGCTACCCCTGTGCTCTCATGTCTTCAGAGGGTGTACTCATGAACCTTTTTAGGTAAAAAGAAAATGTCTTTTGGGACATTCTGGTTGGGAAACCTGGAGGATCCGCTGTTCCTTCTGAATTCATCCTGGATCCACCATGTACCCTGATTCATTAAGTTTTATAGTACAGTCAAGTGGCCAGTAGGGAATCTCAGCCCCATATTACTAGCTTGTTCTTTTTATATACGAAATGAAAATAAAATATCCACTTGTTTATTGAAATATCTAAAAGTTTGTGAAGAGCCATTTATAACTAGTATAGATAACATTATTACCTTATAAAACATATCTAAGATTCTTTTGAGAGAACTATTAATACATTCATGGGTCTATATAAAGATGAATTAGAACCCTATTCATTCCAGTGAACTAGAGGTCATGTGACTATATCCTGCCTACATAATGCAGTTTTGCAGACGTTAAATTTGTAGAATCTTAAACTGATTATGCTTCAAAATCTATCATGAAACAACCATTATTTCATAAAACCTTACATCCACTTCTTTTTAGGCATATCCTAGATGAAGACTGAGGTCTTAAGCACCAGGCTACCTCTGTGAAGATACCTTGTTTCTTACACATACTTTAATTGTCCTACATTAATATAATCATTCTAGGAGGTTCTCTGCTCAGAGCGGAATGAAATTACATTTTGATTCATTTGAATAGAACAATGTACTGGATATCAAAACTTCCTTTGTGATTTCTGGTTCTTTCTCATAATTGTTAATAGGGCTATTGAAGTCTTCATCTAAATATGCAAATAATACTTCTGTATACTTGGGAATTATTGGCTTCCTGAGGCTTATAAAGAAAAGTATAAATTCTGTTTCTTAAAAACATAATAGTGTATTAAAGTTGGGGTGAGGGGGAAATATGCGAGTGGTTTAACAGTATAATCTCTAAAAAATTATCAAAACCAATAAATTAGACATTGAAATCATTTTTAAATTTTTTTAAATTTAAATTCAGTTAACATAGAGACATTGAAATCATTTTTAAAGTTCATGCAGCTTCAGCACTAATATGACATGCCACATCCAAAGACACGACTTACCATTTAACTGTTTTCTTTCATACCTTTCTGCAAACAGCAAAAGCAATAATTGAACAAGAGAATAGGCTATTTGCCAGAGGACAGTGATAAGGCAGTGGTCATTTCCAGAAGCTGCTCTGGGTAGGCCCCTCATCAGTGTGAGAAGTTAACTTGGTTCAAGCACCACTCACACTTCACTGAATTAGAACGGAGTCAACTAGCTCAGTTTTTAGTTAGGTTTAGATCACCAGCTTTTTCTAGACCAAGTATAAGTGTGATACTACTATATTGTACTAAATCACATTCAATGAACTTTTTTTGTCTTTCAGCAAAAATGGTGATCTTCGATATGCCTTGGATAATGAATGGTGAGTGTATTACTTATAATTTGCTAAAGCAAAATCTGATTCCTTTTTACCAATTTAGTCATATTTCTGTGGTGTTTAAAAAAATGTTTATGTTGTGCTTGGTGTGTCCTCTTAAGAGGCTGGAGCTAGAACACTCAAAGGCTGTTCCTAAGCAAACCCAGTTGACATTCTACCCCCGGTTCTGGACAGGACATGCATTAGCCTTCTCTAAAAACAGTGTCAAGGTGTTCAGCCCATTCAGGTACAACTAGAGCTGGATGCCTCAATTTGTCGCCCACAGATGGGCATGTCACAGAACTTAGGCATTGGCTAGATTTTCACAAGGGCTTCTGGTGTTGAGGAAGAAGGTGGGATGAATCTAAAATTGACTCCAAATCTCTGTAGTCACATTATCCTTCCATAAGACAGTCATACATTTTTTGGTAAAAAAAAATCATTGAAAGAGTGGAAAAACACTCTTTACCAGCTTTTAACATGATCATAAATTTAATGTTATTTTCAGAATGTACATTTTTATTTGGTGTTTGCCAGAGTCAATTGTTATATAGAAAGCAGTAGAGAAAACCGGTGAAACTAAACCTTGGTTCTTTGAAAAGTTAAATAAAATTGACAAAACTTTAGCTAAGCCGATAAAGGACAAAAAGATTCCAGTGATGAAAACCAGGAATGAAATAAGAGACATCACTGCTGACCTTACAGAAATTAAAAGGATTATAAGGAAATACTGTAAACGCTTGTATGCCAAGAACTTAGATGATATAGATGAAATGGACAACTTCCTAGAAAGACAACATACAGAAATAATTCAAGAAAAATCTGAATAGAAATATAACAAAAGACCTTGAATTAGTAATCAAAAAACTTCCCACAAAGAAAAGTACAGGCCTAAATGACTTCATCAGTAAATTCTAGTAAACATATAAAGAAGAATCAACACCAAACCTTGGCAAACTTCCAAAAGACAGAAGAGGGACCACTCCCCAACTCATCTCATGAGGCAAGTATATTCTAGTAACAGCACAGAAAAAGAAAACTAGAGACCATTATTCCTTACGAATACAGGTGGACCAACCCCCAGTAAAGTACTAACTGAGCCTAGCAGCATATAAAAAGGATTATACACCACGACCAAGCAGGATTTATCTCAGGGATGCAAAGTTGGTTCAGCATATGAAAATCAACCCATGTTATTGAGCGTATTCATAGACTAGAGGAAAGCAAGCACGTGATCATCTCAGACATGAGAAAAGCATTTGACAAAACCTAGTACATTTCCATGATAAAAGCACTCAAGAAACTAGGAATAAAAGGTGTAAAGAGTTGTGATATCTTCAGAGTTAGGGAGAGCACATTTGTCCACGCAAGACTACTCTCACTTCTGACACCACCTGTAAGTTCAAGGGGTTCCCCAAATCACCCTCAAGTCCACTAGAATTACTCAGACCTCACTGAAAGCTGTTAATACTCACAGTTATGGTTTACTACAGGAAAAGGATTCAGATTTGAATCAGCCCAGGGAAGAAAAACAGGATGGAATGCAGGGAAGTACCAAATGTGGAACACATTAGTTTCCCAGCATTGCCAACCGGGGAAGCTCACCCAGACCCGCAGTTCAGAGTTTGTATTAGGGCCCACTACATAGACCTGACTGATTAATCACATGCTTGAGGTCAGTCTCCATTCACTCCAGAGCTCTACTCATACTGTGTGACCAAAGTCCCCACCCTAAATCCTACTGTTTCAGTGTGACCCGAGGCCCTCAGGGAAACAAGGACACTCCTGTCAGGCCTGAAGATGACCTTCCAAAAGCGGAGGGCAAAGGGCAGACCTCTCTTTGGGTAGAGTTAATTCTTGAATATATAGAAGAGAACTTTCTCAGCCTGATAAAGGGCATTTATATAAAACTTGCATCTGTGGAAACTCAGAGCTAACATCATACATAGCAATGAAAGAAGGAATGATTTCCCCCCCTAAGATCAGGAACAAGACAGAGTAGTCTGCTCTCACCACTTACATTACCAGGGCACTTAGGCAAGAAAGTGAAATAAAAGGCATCCATGTTGGAAAAGAAGTAATGCTTTTTATATTTGCAGGTGACACAGTCTTGTATATGGACAATTTTAAGGAATACACACACCAAAAAAAATCCCTATTAGAAGAACTAGTAAGTTCAGCAAGATGGCATGGTACAAATCAATATACAGACTCAACTGTATTTCTATACATTAGCAATGAATAATCCAAAAATGAAATTAGGGAAAAAAATCCATCTATAATAGCATCACGAAGAATAAAATACTTAGATTACTAAGTAATCTAATTTAGTAAAATACTAAAAATTAATAAAAGAAGTTCAAGACTCATACATTGAAAGCTACAAAATACCATTGAAGGAAATTCAAGACCTCGGTAATCAGACATCTCTTGTTCATGGACTGGAAGACGAAATATGGTTAAGATGGCAGTACTTCCTGAATTGATCTACCAATTCACTGCAGTCCCTGTCAAAATCCCAGCTGCCCCCCCGCCTTTTTTTTTTTTTTTTTACAGAAATTGACAAGCTTGTTAAGTGCACATGGATGTGCAGGAGACCAAGAGTAGTAAAGATAGTCTTGAAAAAGAACAATGAAATTAAAGAACTGACACTTCTTAGTTTCAAAATTCAGTACAAAGCTACAGTAATTAAGATGTGGTATAGACATAAGGATAAACATATAGATCAGTAAAATAGTGTTGGGAATCCAGAAATGAACCCTAATATTTATGAATAATTGCTTTTTTTGACAATAGTACCAAGACATTTCACTGGAGACAGCACAGTCTTTTTTCAGTTTTTATTTTAATCAGGCAGTGCTCATCATGACAAGTGCGTACCTTAATCCCCATCACCTATTTTTTGTTTGTTTGTTTGTTCGTTTTTGTTTTATTTCTTTTCAGCGTAACAGTATTCATTGTTTTTGGGCCACACCCAGTGCTCCATGCAATCTGTGCCCTCTCTAATACCCACCACCTAGTTCCCCCAATCTCCCACCCCTCGCCCCTTCAAAACCCTCAGATTGTTTTTCAGAGTCCATAGTCTCTCATGGTTCACCTCCCCTTCCAATTTCCCTCAACTCCCTTCTCCTCTCCATCTCCCCTTGTCCTCCATGCTGTTTGTTATGCTCCACAAATAAGTGAAACCATATGATAATTGACTCACTCTGCTTGACTTATTTCACTCCCCATCACCTATTTAACCCACTCTCTCCCCTCTGGTAACCATCAGTTCTCTATAATTAAGAATCTGTCTTGATTTGACTCTCTTTTTTTCCCTTTGTTCATTTGTTTCTTAAATTCCACATAGGAGTGAAATCATATAGTATTTGTCTTTCTCTGACTCACTTCACTTAGCATAATACTCTTCTAGCTCTATCCATGTCATTGCAAATGGCAAGATTTCATTATTTCTCATGGCTGCGTAATATTCCGTGTGTGTGTGTGTGTGTGTGTGTGTGTGTGTGTGTATGTGTTTGTATGTGTACGTACACCACATGTTCTCTATTCATTCGTTAATTGATGGACACTTGGACCACTTCCATAACTTGGCTGTTGTAAATAATGCTGCTATCAACATAAGGGTGAATGTATCCCTTTGAATTAGTGTTTTTGTATTCTTTGGGTAAATACCCAGTAGTGCGGTTGCTGGATCATAGTGTAGTTTTATTTTTAACCTTTTGAAGAACCTCCATACTGGGTTGTTTTGTTTTTTTTTTTCCAGTGGCTGCACCCGTTTGCATTCCCACCAATGGTGCATGAGGGTTCCCCCTCCGCATCCTTGCCAACACCTGTTGTTTCTTGTGTTGTTGATCTTAGCCATTCTGACAGGTTTGAAGTGATGTCTCACTGTAGTTTTGATTTCCATTTCCCTGATGATGAGTGATGATGGGCATCTTTTCATGTATCAGTTGGCCATTTGGATGTCTTCTTTGGAGAAATGTCTATTCGTGTCTTCTGCCCATTTTTAGTTGGATTATTTTTTGGGTGTTGAGTTTTAGAAGTTCTTCGTATATTTTGGATGATAACCCTTTATCAGATACATCATTTGCGGGGCGCCTGGGTGGCTCAGTCAATTAAGTGTCCAACTCTTGATTTCAGCTCAGGTCGTGATATCAAGCCCTGAGTTGGGGGGGGGGGGGGTCCAGGCTCAGCAGGGAGTCTGCATGAAATTCTCTCTCTCCCTTTCCCTCTGCCCCTCCCCCCACATATTCTGTCACACATTCTTTCCCTTCCTTCCTCCCTCTCCCTCTCTCTCTCAAATAAACAAATCTTTAAAAAAAATTGTCATTTGCAAGTATCTTCTCCCATTCATTACATTACCTTTCAGTTTTGTTGATTGTTTCCTTCACTCTGAAGATTTTTTTTTTGGCTGTAGTCTTAGTAGTTTATTTTTTCTTCTCTTTCCTTTGCCTCTGCGGGACCTATCTAGAAAAAAGTTATTACAATGTCAGACGTTACTACCTGTACTCTATTCTAGAATTCTTATGCTTCCAAGTCTCACATTTAAGTCTTTAATCCAGTTTGAATTTATTCTTGTGTGTGGTGTTAGAAAGTGATCCCGTTTCATTCTTCTGCATGTTGCTGTCCAGTTTTCCCAGCACCATTTGTTGAAGAGACCATCTTTTTCCCATTGGATATTCTTTCCTGGTTTGTCAAAGATTAACAGACTATATAATTTTGGGTTTATTTCTGAATTTTCTGTTCTGTTATGTTGAACAGTGTTTGTGTTTTTATGCCAGTACTCTACAGTTTTGATCACATATCTTTGTAATATAACTTGAAGCCTGCAATTATGATGCCCTCCACCTCTGGCTTTTCTTTTTTGAGATTGCTTTGGCTATTCAGGGCCTTTTGTCATTCCACACAAATGTAGTAGTATTTGTTCTAGTTCTGTGAAAAATGCTGTTGGTACTTTGATTAGGGATTGCATTAATTGTGTAGATTGCTTTGGGTAGTATAGACAT